CCCAACCTGCGAAACCATTAGATGAGAGGTGGGTCAGGGCTCATAAGGCCTTCACAACTCTGAAGATCGCGACAACACCGATCCTGCGCCACTTCGACGAGACGAGAACGCCGGTAATGATTGTATATGCCAGTGACTGGGCGATTTCCGCCTCGTTAATGCAAGCACACGACGAAATCTACCATCCTGTTGTGTTCGCTAGCCGCACGCTAAAGGTGAATGAGCTGAGCTACAACGTGTCAGAAAAAGAAGTGTTGGCATTGCTGAGGATCTGGGACCTCTACTACAATTTATTGGTGGGGCGTGAGATCCGGGTCCTGACGAGGCATTCCATGCCGGCTGTTCAAGTCGGCGCGATTACAAGGTCGTTTAGGATAATGGTCCACCCTCCTGGCCCCGTGGACTCTCGAGATCACGAGATGCACGAAAGGAGAAGACGAGATACTGGAGGCGATCGCTGCCAGCATCACACTGAGGTCAAAGATCGACGACACCTTAACCGCTATCGCCCCCAAGGAACCCAAACGCCGGACTCAAACGACGATACCCACCGTGGATCGAGAAGAGGAATTATGGACGGCTAATCTTGATGGATTGGCTCGGGTGAAGCGGGGTGGGGGGGCGCGTTCAGCGCGATCGTGTGGAGTCTGCCCGGGTGGAAGGTGGTCAAGGCCAAATCATGCTATCTCGAGAATCTCACCGTGAATGACGCAGAGTACAACGGCCTCCTGTTGGGACTCGACATGCTAGCGGACCTCGACCGTAAGCGCCTAGTGATCTGCGGAGATTTCACCTTGGGATCCGGCAGGTTCGGGGCGAGATCGATTGCAAGTCACCCGGGCTGACGCTATGGAGGCAGAAAGCTCTCGATCGCTTGAGGGAATGGAGTGATCATGAGCTAGTGCATGTGAAGAGAGACTGGAATGGGAGTGTTGACAGTCTAGCGAGTGCCGTTTTGCAACGCCAAGGTGGGATCGAGGTCCATAGCGGTACCGAACACCAAGATTTGGTTACCCTAAACCGGCTGGACGAGATCCTCGTACACATGACCGAGAATCCCATGGTACGAGTTGCAGCTGTGACAACACGAGCTTCTTGAGTGAGGTCGCGCGCGGCAGTCATGCAATAGGACCTGATCCGAGAAATGCGCGTCGATCGGATCAGACAAGCTCAGGATGAGGAGGTCTGGATCACTGGAATGAAGAAGTATCTGAGTGGTTCGTTCGCCGACTTCACGCAAGCGGAAGCCAGATCATACGGCAAGATTACGGCCGATTACGAGGTGGACAAACAAGATCTACTCGTTTACTGCCCTCCCACACCGAGATCGGGGGACGATCGCGATCGGTTGCTGAGACTGGTAGTACCCGAAACGTTGCAATCGGACGTCCTACACCACTATCATACGACGTTAGAGGGCGGACATCAACGAATTGGCCGCACCTACCAGCGGATCCGAAATCATGTCCATTGGAGGGGACTATACCGAAGCGTTCAGAGATACGTGGGAGAATTCGTGGACTGCAAAACAGGAAAAGGGAGACCCGTTATCCAAGGAGAATCACCAGGGAATCTACAAGCAACGTATCCATTCCAGATCATTGCGATGGATCATATACCGTCGTTACCCAGATCGAATAAAGGGAACACTGAGCTGTTGATCTGGGTCGATCTATTCACGGGATACGTGGTCGCAAAGGCTAGCTCGTCTCGAACGGCCCAGACGGTCGCGGAATCTTACGAAGAGTGTGTATTTAGGGGCTTCCGTGCTAGCGAGATTATCAGACACGATCGAGAGCCCGGGGTCATGTCCGACTTCTTCAGATCGTTCAATAAAATCCTGGGACAACGTCAGCGAGCAACGATGGTGTATCGACCTCAAGCCAACGGGATCGCGGAACGAATGGTACAGCCAGCGACCGGGGCGCTCAAGATGTATGTGCATGATCTAGATCAGAAGGATTGGGGCGAGTACGCAGAGCGCCTCATGTTCGCGATCAATACGCTCACAATCGAATTCGAGGAGACGCACCTCAATATCAGGTGCACGGGTGGGATCTGAGATCCACGCATGAGGCTACGATTCCAGTCGGATGCACCCGACGGCATGATCGCGACCCACGAAGGTGGCGTTATCGTATCCAACGGCATTATTAGCAGTCACGGGAACAAGTTAACGCTAGATTGCGAGAGGCCATTTCAGATCGCCCCGGCCGACACAATGAGGACGTTGGACCACACCAGATAGATGTGGGATCTCAGATTTGGTTATATCTTGACTGAGTGAGAGAGGGTTACGCCCGCAAATTGGCTCACCTCTGACACGGGCCATTCCGAGTCGCCGAGAAGATCAATGAATTCACTATGAAGCTCCAGATCGCAGGCACGGGATACCAGATCTTCCCGGTAGTTCATGTGTCAAAGCTAAAATTGGCGAGGAACTTCCCAGATCGACCTCGAGTCGACCTCACCGTGAACGAATCGGAGCGCCTCGACTTTGATGAGATCCTGCTCCCGGAGGATAGTTGGGTCTCAGACCTCGGAGCCGCCGAGTATGAGGTCGAACGGATCTCGGATATGCGGAGTGGAAAGAAGACTCGCTTCGGTCGGATCTACCGAGAATTTTGGTGCATTGGGTGGGTTACGACGAGGCAGACCTCAACTACGGTGCAATACTGAACGCCTTCCTGCGAGAACGC